TCTTCAAATCTCTCAGGAGACCCTGGGTAACCCATCACTCCTGTGTTTAGTTGTGACAATTGGGAGCAGACCTTTTAGACTACCAGGGAATGACAAGTCTGCTTGTTGTAGCCTATGTCTGTACAAGTTTTAATATTTCAGCCTAACTGTGAGAGGGCAAAATAATGGTAAAATTATAAATGGTAATGTGGAATTGATGCCATAAAATATAGAAAGGTTTAGGCTTCAGAGCAGTTACTGTATGAGCAAATAAAACTTTGTTACTTGGAAGCACTTTTAATAGTGTAGTGTCAAGCTAATAACGCTGTGATTCCTGTAAGTGCAGAGAAGCACATGGTCAGAGCCTGACCTGCTGGTTCAATAAATAAATAATTGCTCATATTAGAGGTGCTCATGTGAGTCAAGAAGTGGGATATTAATTAAGGAGCTGTGCAGGGCTGGTGTGAACAGACTCCCTGAGGTGGGCAGTGCTGTGAAGCTCCTTGAGAGATGTTTTGCATTGATTTCTTCACAGCCATTGCCTGGGCACAGTGTTTTCACTGCATGGGGGTCACACCTAGGCAAATATGCCCCTTTGCCTCCACAGTGCCCAGGGAAATGAGAACAGAAGAGACTGAGCTTGCAGGATGAGGAATGTGCTCTTCCTCTTGCTCTCTACTACACAGGGTAGAGGTACACAGGTTTGAGGGTACAGGCAGCCTGTTTTTAGGGTGGTACTATATTACAAACAGCTGGATTAATCTATGTAAAGTGGTGGTTCATTTTATCTTGTTTCATTTAATTCACACAGAAACAACACTTTTACATCTTGGTGGTTTTTAGCATTACTCCATCTCACCATCTTGGGGCATGGAAACATGGAAGAATCTCATTTTTCATTATGGAATTTTCCATTCCTATCTCTTGTCAAAATAATCTGAAATTCAAAAATAAGAACTATACTGAATATAAATCTAGTGCTCCTTTTCTGCATGACCAGTATGAAATTTCAAAGACAGGGTAATTGCTGACACATATCTATAAAAGACATAAATAGGTAATTCTACTGAAGTGAAATAACTGGAGGGACAAATACTAGGAATAATCCAGGAACGATCACACTTTTAATGTAAATGCTTTGTTAAAAATTAGGGAAGCAGCTTTCCTAGATTGCCTCCTGCTCCCAAGTTCAGGCTTTTAGATCTTTGCTGCTGCAAGTTCTTTATCTAGTTAGATTAAAGCCAGCATGCAAATGCTTTTCTGCGCTACAGTCATAGCTCCTGGATTGCTTGCTAGAGTTTACTGAGGAGTGTTGGAAGCCACAGCACCAGGCAGTGTCTGTACAGCACCTACAGGCAGTTCTTGCAAATTTCCTGCCTTTCAGCACTGCATGTGCCTCCACAGGTAAGCTGAGGAAACACATAGGTGTTGTGGGTTTTAATAATCACAGGCCATCTAACAACTTTGTTTGGGTTTTATTTTTTGGCCTATGACAGTGAAATCTTCAAGGGACAGTAAAATCTCTCAGAGTCAGTGAGGGGATGATAGATAACTGTTTTGCGTTTACTGCCAAATGATTTCTCTAACTGACATGGGTGTTCCACAGCAGGTTGTTGCTCTGAAGACCTATCACAACAAATACTTGATTACTTGCAATTTAAAGTTGCAAATACGGAAAATAAAGCTTAGTAAAATTGCACCAGAGTTAAAATCACCTGACCAGGCATTTACACAGCCTGGTATTACAGAAGTAATGTTTTCCACACAGACTAAAGTAATCATTTAAGTAGAAATCAAGTTACACTGATGAAATACTTGACCAAAAGCATACTCTAGTCCATTTATCACAGATTAAAAGCAAAGAATAAAGGATGGAAGGAAAATTGCTCAACTAGTGGAACTGTGGAAGCTAGCATTTGATTTTTTTTTCACTTCACAGACTAGTTCTGCTGATCCCATTATTCTTGACTGTAATACACTGAGACATATCTCACTGATGCTCCTGTGAGTAATGGTAATTTAAGGAAAGCTCAGATAGTTTTCAAGCACTGAACTGCCGATCTAAATTGCATCCAAAAAGGAAGAGACAAAATAAAGAATTTTGCAACCTCATTTTGATCAGTTATTACATACACACAAATCAGACTGCTGTATTTGATCTAGCCCAACATGCTTAATTTGCCCAAACATTTGTGGTAATGGCATATTTTGATTAAATTATCCGAGGTTTAAAAATTGTTGCTATAGCAACATACACTCTCAAGTGAGATGCCTGACTCTCATCCTAGCAAATAATTTCTGTCAGGAAATTATTTGATAGGGTGATGATAGGAAAATTCAAAATAAGTAGTTGAATTGCTGATATTCCTGCCCAAACTAAAAATAAGCCAGGTTTGGCCCTGATATAAGTAGGTACCTTTTATTTTGGTAGGAGCTGAACAAGGTAAGTGTTAACATAACTCTGTCTGTACTTAGCGTATGAGAAGATAAGAAAATAAAAGTTATAAAACAACCTGTCTGTAATGAAATGTCACGACTAAATATGTCCCTGTTTTTACTCTGGAACATTTCATATCACCTATACATGCCCATTTCTGTAGTAAAATCTATCCCAATAGACATTACATATAAATATGTAACACTCCTAAGTGTTTCTCTGCAGCATATTTGCCATTGCATCTTATCATCCTGAATTTTGAGGTACCTTTTCCTCATACCATTATCTGAGAAAGTGTGAGAGTCTACTGTTGTGTGTCAGGTCTCACACTTGATCAGAGAGGAACTCACCTACAGTTTGAGAGTAAATGTGTATGAAACCAAACACCTGAAACTAAGTCTTAGTCCATGTTTTGACTTAATTAGGTGAGAGGCAAGGTGAGAGAAGGCCTCTGTACTTTCTCACTTGTAACTACTCAGTGCCAAAAGAAGTCCTCCTTAGATTTTGGGCAGCCTTTTCTATGCTTGCTCTCAGGTATGCTTGGTGCCCAAACATTTTCAAAACTGCAGGGAACAGGCTGTGAGTTGCTCAGTCTGTAGCAGTGCCTTTGATAAGGTAATTTTTTCAGTCTGAACTGCTCTGCTGGGGATATCACTGTCCATGCACAATTGTACATTAATTTTTCTGAGGTGCAAAACATATGGGAACGGTCACAGTGTGTAAATCATCAAAAGCCCTTTGTTGCCCAACAGTGACCTTTGGAGGCCTTTGCTGCATGTTTGCACTCACTGAAGTAACCCAAATTTATGCCAAGGAAATGTTAAAACTGAGCAAGACCACAGGCTGGTGCTAGCAGCATTTTAGGAAAAGTTCATGGCAGACTGTCTTCAAACCTGTTGTTCAGTGTTTATGTAGCAGGAAAAGAAATTTGTTAATTGCATTTGGAGTAGACAGCAAAAACATTTATAAAGCATACACTGGTCACAAGCTTAAAGGGTCCTGGGTTTGATCCCAGGAGCAAGTGTTTATCCTTGAAGATTTTGTTATTGGCCATATGGGTTACCTTCAATTAGATGTTCAGGTAATGCAATATTTCATCCCTTTTCAATGTTTGATTTCTTTTCCTTCTTACATGAACTGAATTTGTTCAAAGTTAGTTTTTCTTGCTTCATTTTGCTTCCTGGCAGAGGCACTAGAAGAGATTGAATGTCCGTAAGTTTTAAGAAAGCCCTGAGGACTCTAGTTCTCTACTCATTTACACCACTGTGGCATTACTAAGCTGGAATTGTCCCTGATTAACACAAGGAGAGAATCAAATTCTGCCTGTCTGGTAGTTCTGAATGTAATGGATACTTGCATTTTGTTGATGCTGGAAAAAAATTAATTACTGAGAAGTAGCTCTCTTCTTTCAGGTAATAAAAAACCCTCATATGTCTTCCTTACTAAGAATTTGAAGGTAATTTTATGTCCTCCTTAAAGGTTTATATATTATGACTGCCATTCATTTCCCATCTGATGTAAAAAGCCAAAACCAGATTTTGACTTTGATAAAAAGCCTCCACAAAAAAAGAAAAAAAAAAAAAAAAAAAAAAAAGAAAAAAAAAAAAAAAGAAAAAAGCAGCGCAAGTCCCTCTCAAAATGTTCTGCTTGACCTCATGTATGGCATCAATTTTGAACCACAGTGACTTGTTGACTCATTCATTTCAGAACCCCCTGAGACCTCAATGTAGGACTTCTCTAGGGTTTGGAAGAATATTTGCAAATCAGGTAGTTTCCTCATAAGTGTATTAATTGCCTTGGAAACACAAAAGCATTCATAATTTGCTCACAAACATTTTCCACTCTTGCTTGCTTAAGCATTCTAGTTCCAGAAGAGCTGCAGTTTGCTTTCCTGAACAAAATACTCCCTAGCTCCACACTTCTTGTGAGAAATGACTGATGACCCCCAAGAACATAAGCTGTGATTGTTGAAGACTACAGTTTGAAAAGGGAAGGGGTAATCTTCACAGAGGTTTAACCAATAATTTGAATTAATAGATCATTCTGTCAGAAAATTCTGTCAGAATTGAAGCAAATTGAGGTTAAACTTTATACTCTGTGGCTGGAGGTGTTTGGCCTTTGCACCACTTTTTTGTTCTAAGCAGTAAGTTACACTACTTTGATGAGCACATCCTTCATGCAGAAATCTTTTCCAGCACAGCTGCTGGACAGTGTGTCAAAAGAAAGCTAGCATAAACTCAACAAACATAAGTAGCAATAGACAAGGTCAGAACTTGAGTAAAAATAGGAAATTTTTCACCTTTTTAAGATATCTTTCCTGTATTGTACTTCTTGTGTGACTTACATGTATATTTGTAATGTTTTGCTGGGACATTTGCTGGACATTTCTCTGTTATAGTATCCATCTTGTGTTAATGGAAAATTTCTCTTTTCAGTATGCTTGACTTGTGTGTTTCACATTACCTTACTCTTCTGGGAGATCTGGAAGTGCTATTCATACATAGCATCATGTGATTCATCCAGAAGTTTCTATGCTGAACATGGAAATAATTTTTTCCCTTTTTCCCTCCCCACTTTTAACCAGATAGACAAGAAAATTGTCCGCACTGAAATTGGAGTTCTCCTTCGCCTTTCGCATCCTAACATTGTAAGTTTAGCCATGTTATTCCACTCAACATTTGTTTCCTTGTTTTTAAATTCTTTCTGTTTGTAAGAGATGACTATTGTGGTTCACCAGTCTGTAGAGACCTGGATTAAAGTTCTGGGCTCTCTTAGTGGGCATGCTAGCAGTTTTTTATGAACATCTGTTGAGTTATACTTCCATTTTAAGATAAAACAATGATGTTCTTACAGAGCTGAGTGAGAAACTCTGTGAAAGAAGTTCTGCAAATGAAAGTAGAAGTTGGTGTTTTCAGTCCTGGGAGACTTAAACACGAAAAGGTCCTACTTTTTGGTTTCTCTGAGAGATTGGCAGATGGCCTCTTAAATTCCCGTATTTCACAGAGGTTACTGAGGTATGAGAATAACCAAAAGAGTACAAAAAAAGAAAAAAAGCTAGCAAAAAAGACTGAGATAGAACCAGGTAACTCTCCTGGCTGTGTTCTGTGTTCTACTGTTGACCTTCAGAAGTGCTCTGCAAGGAGACAAACAAGCAAAAGAAATACTTTCTGTATTCTTTTACCAGATAAAACTGAAGGAGATATTTGAGACCCCTACAGAAATCAGTCTTGTTCTGGAACTGGTCACTGGTGGAGAATTATTTGACAGGTAAGTTACCTGTACATACTCTTCCAGCACCTTCCTTCCCCAAGGAGGTTAGAGTTCAAATTTCTTCTCTGTATGTAAACCCTGTGTTAGTAATTACTCTGAGCCCCTGCCAGGGCTTTGAGCCATCCAGGGCATCCAGAGAGATGTCCTGGGTTCCAACAGGGAAAAAAAATGAATTGAAAATGGAGGAATTAGCCAGTAAATGTTGAAGAAAGGTGCTCAGCACACACACAGCATTGAGTGTGTTAGAGCGGACAAAAGATGGGAAAAACTGGCAAAATCTCATTGACAGGTCATCATAAAACAGATTAGATGGCAATCAGCCCACCAGGAGGATACTGTTATATCAAATAAAAATTTTGTAAGCAGACTAACAGGAAAGAAATTCTCTTTGGTATTCACTGTGTTTATCAAACATCTGGTTTTGCTACAAAGGTTTTTCAAGACAGCTGTTGAGTTCTGAAGGATTTGCTCATGAGGCTGCACATGCTTCTGGAGTAAATGCATATGCCTAAAGTGAGATGATTCTGTAATAGTGTTGGGGTGATATTTTATTGGTAGGGATTTGGGTTTTTTAGAGCAAGAGAGGATAAAGAAAACATTTTATACTGGTTTGAGTAAACAAGTTAATTTACTGGTGTTAGTGATTTCAAGCTCACATATATTCCTTGTTCTGTAATTAAAGTTTAGTATCATAGAGGAATATTACAAAAATACACATCAAATATTCGGTCTGAAAGTATCTGCCACTTGAAAAAACGAAAGCATACTTGTTTTTTTATGCCATGGTCATACTTCAGCCTTGACATGAACTATTTCTAAACAAGAACAACAAAAGCAACTGCTCCTATGACTCCTAAGTTCAACAGAAGAAGGATGATTACTCTGTCAATACTGAACCAGAAGAATGAGGAAAGACATGCTGCAAATTAAAGTACCAATGGGGTCCCAGTCTTGAGCTGGAGACGACCCTGGTCAAAGTGCATTACCTTTCATGTAGCCCTTTATATATCCACATGGATTTCAGATTAGGTAATTTTCAGGGGGGCTGGATACTCTACAGGAGCGTTTGATGAGATCTTGCAAATGCAAACCACAAAAAATCCAGTGAAGCGGGTGGTTCCTGAGCAGCAACCATCTGTCTGGTGGAAGAACTGAAGAGAAAAGATTTCATGGGATCCAGGATGGGGAACCGCATTATTTGATGAACCCTTGATTTAATATACTGACAGTTTCAACATTCTCTAATCTATACTTGTTAGTGACTATGGGATTTGAACTGTCCGATTGATCTTTTCAAAAAGATTGGATGCTTGATCCAGTAATTTGGATAGCTGGGACCAGCTGTGTGGCATTCTGACTAGAAGCAAAGTCACTCAGTAGAATTGCAGAGCCCCCTTGTGATGCTATAGGTGAGTACCAATACTGTGGAGATCTGAACTCTGCATCCTCCTTTGCCCCATGTATGACAGAACTGGAAATTTTGTCAATACAGACCTCTGTGATTTGGAAAAAGACCCAACAAGCAATGAGACAAAAAACCATATTAAATTATTTTCAGCTCTTAAGCTAGGAATATTACTTCACTTAAACTAAAAATAATTAAGCAGAAATATGCAGCCAAGGTGTTTTGCACTAGTGACTCCAGTTAAATATTAGCTGTTTCTCCTTTTTAAGCTGGGCTAAAGGATTAGCACTTGCATTGTTCTGTACATTGGCTGCCCTCTGAGTTTTAGGGAGGGTAAATTTAGGTTTCTGCCTTAGGGCAGATTCCCCTCTCATGAGTAATCTTTTCCTTACATCTTTTTATTATGCATGAAGGAAATGTTATGACTGACAGAGAGACCTTGTGCATGCCTTTTTCTGTGCTTGTATGATTCCCATCGCAGGAGAAAGATAATGACCTGGAATATTTCCTCCTGAGCAGAAGAGCTATGTCAGATGTGGAGGGACAGCTGTGACCAGGTCTTGAGATCCACCCCATGGTTGTCCTCAAGGTGGGACCCTGTGTGGACAAGCAGGACCCTAGTGTGGCCTGGCACCACCTCCAGGGTGTGGAATACCTTATGTTCCTTATTTGTAAACCACCGCCCTTACACAGACAGCAAAGCAACTTTTGTACTCTGGAGGAGTTACTCTTATTCTTCTTTCTAATCAGCTATCAGCAAATGACACAGCTGGGCCTGTTACACAAGGAGTGCTGCCCTCCTGGCTGCAAACATCTTCATTGCTGTTACTGCTAAATCTTGTAAAATGCTGCTACTTTTTATATCAACTGTTTTGTTGCTCCAATTTTCTCCCATCCCAGATGTCCATTCTTCTTCTGAATAGTATTTGAGCTGCAAAAGAGTAAGTTCTTCCATGTAAACATCCCTCTTATCATGAAGATGATTTTATAAATATCCAAGATCCAATTAGTCTTCTAGAATCCTATTAGCATTGTTGATGTGCTGCTTGTTTCATGCCATTCTAACTAAAAGTTCTGGATAATGAAATTATTCTTTTCTTTCACCATATTTAACATTACTGTCAAATCATCCACGTTATTGCTAAAATGAACTGTCATTATGACAATTTTTCAATTGTGTTACCTAAAGGGAGACAAATGCAAAGTAATATATCAGTTTGACACCTGAGTTAATACAGTTCAAATCAGATTGATTTTGGCTGTATTTTAAAAAGAAAACTGTTTCTCAGACTTCATAAATCACGTTGTGGGTCATACCCTACGTACCACTCCAAATACAAACTCAAAACTGAAGATGTTTGTGTAAATTAAAATATTTATTGCCAATGTACATGATGATTTTTACCAACCAGCGAATGAGAAGTGAAAAAGAGCCTATGGCAAAGAATTTACCAGAATAGAGAGAAAAATGCAGCAGATCTAAATTAACTGGTATTAAAGTTCTTTATAGGTGCTGCATCTCCAACTTAGTGCAGGGACATATTTCTCACATTTGCTTGGCCCTCCTCTTTCATTTCTGCATGTCTAAAACAGAGAGGCATGGTTGAAGTGCATTTAAACTGGCAGTTTTTGACACAGCCTCGAGGGACAATCTTCTGATAAGGCTCTGCGTTCCAGTACTGGTAAGCCCAAAAGCACAATCTGATATCTTGTCTTTTATGGGCTACCTTTTGTTCAAGTTGGGTTTTTTTTGCATTCAGATTTTATTAATATCTATTGTCTTCCAGCTGAATCACCAGTATATCTCTTTTTCAAACATGAATTTCAGCAAAAAAATTCAACTCTACTTTAACTTCTTTTTAATCAGAATACCTGTGGATTGCTAAGAATAGTTTTGGTTTTTTCCACTTCGGATACAAATGTCAATCCATATATTCTTGTTTTCACTTTGGCATCTTGACCATAGGCTTTTCTGTTTCTTCTTTCATGTTATTATTGAGTGCACCAAACAATGTCTAAAAATAGCACTTGCAGCTGACAGTCTCTTGACTCACTTCCATTTCAAGTTTCATGTAATTTCCTGGGATCTGTGGGTTCAAATACATGTTCTCTTCTTTTATATAGTATACATTAACAAAAATATTAATTATTCTAAATAAGTTGACTTTTTAAGAGGTATGGGAATGATTGCTTCTTATGGATAAAATATAGCAAAGCTTTCCCAGGATTTAGGAGCACCTTTTTGTTTATGCTTTTGGAAACTAAAATTGCTAAGGGATGTCAAAAATATTTAAGGAATTAATCAGTCACTAAAGTGAGAGTCTTTTATGAAAAGTGAGAGTCTTTTATGAGGTAGTGTCAGAATAGCACCTTCTGTTTGCTTCAGTGCCCTGATCTCATTATGTCATGGCAGTTTGTCTGTCTTCTGAACAGGGGTTGGAGAAGTTCTTTAGACTCCCTGCTTCATGGGACCATGTTACAGATCCCTCACTCAGGACTGGCAAAAAATAGAAAGATGTTGGTGACTTGACTACACCAACTATGCCTGTTCTCTGAAGCTGGAGTCAAGATACAGAACTCTGATAACAAAGTGCTCTTTGATATCTTAGTAACTCATTTAGTTTCTCTTGAATTTAGCTTCAGTAATGATAAAACCAAGTAATTTCAGAATAAAGACGTGCATTAATGCTCATTTGTAGTCTTTCCAATGTAATTTGGTATTTTTTTCTCATACAGAGCTGTAATAATGCCTTTTTTTTTTTTTTGGTGGTCAGTGCCTAATTTTCTGTTACTCTGGAAACTGGGAAAGCCCTTTGTAAATTGCACATATCAGTGCCTGTGAAGCTCTTTATTTTATTAGATATTTTTAATACAGAAGGTTCTTGAGATTATAGCTCCTCTGACAAATGTATTCACAGTTTTCTACCACAGCCTCAGCATTGTTATATAGATATACATTGTCTGTATGGCAGACAAACTAGGTGAGTTAAATTAACCTGCTAAATTAATTAAAAAGTTGATTGAGACTTAGCTGAATTCCTTAGTTATTAACAAATTTCACCTTCTTATTTGATTGAAATGCAGAGAGGTTTTGACAGCTGTTGAGGTATGTATACCTACAGACTATATAACTGTACTTTACATATATATGTACATACAGAAAGTCTCTGACTGACCCAAGTGTATTGATGTGTCTTTGCATTGACTCAACACCTCTCCTGAATTTATAAAGTAATTTAAAATGTGTACGCTTTGTACATTTTGGATTTAATTGCTTTTTTGCTATGGACATTATGACAAGATTGTAAAGTGAAGTAAAAATATTTTAGGAAGAAGTACAGTTTTCCTAAATATTCAGACCACTGAAATGCTTTTCCTAGATGACAATTAAGGAGATTTTTAATAAAAGCCTGGAAAGCAAATATGTTTTAGGTAGTGTACTTCTCAGTTCAATGTTAACCTTTAGTCACAGTTGTAAGGAATGTGTCACAGACCTGTGCACTATAAGAGGTGCCAGGGCCACAAAAGAAGGTCTGGAAGAACTGAACCTGAAATAATCCTGAACTGAATAATGATAATGTGAATGTTCCTG